CATATTTCACTGTAATATTTTGTCTTCTCACACTGCCCTTTGGAATCTTGTGTTCAACTCCTTAATATCTTGATTTCTTTCCTTTGTTAGGGCTTCTTGGCACTCTAGTGCAATAGTCAGAGTTTCTTCTGACATCCACCTTGGTCTTTGCTTCCTCTTCTGTCTTTGCAATGACCTGTTGCATTCTTCCTGGATGATATTCTTTTTTTCCTTCTTTCTTTTTAAAAAATTATCATTAATTTCAGTGAAAATTTACAGAGACTTTGGATTTCCATTCATTCATTGTTGCACTTTCTCTCCTCCCAACCCTCTCTCACCCCTAGTAAACTACGGTCTTGGAAAAATAAAAGAAAAATTCTTTCATTGATTTACAATCCCTCTTCCCCCAGGTCCACTCCACTATACAGTCTTCATTCTGGACTCCTGTCACGACAAAAATACCTAATACTTTTCCCTCTTAAACAGTTTTCTCCCTCATCTGTTTCAATGCAATATACATTATTGAACCCAGTCTCTTCAGTCTCAGTCCCCTCCCACCCCCAGGTCACTCCTGCTTTACAACAGTGGCACCATGCAGTATTTGTCCTTTTGTGACTGAGATACTTCACTCAGCATAATGTCCTCCAGGGTCACCCATTTTGAATAATATTGCATGAGTTCCTTGTTTTTCAATGCAGCATAGTATTCCACTGTGTGAATATACCACAGCTTCTCTATCCACTCATTTGTTGAAGGGCACTTAGGTTGTTTCCAACTCCTTGATATTGTGAACAAAGACACGATACACATGGGTGTGCATATATCTGCTTGGATGTCAGTTATGGTCTCTTTGGGGTATATTGCCAGTATTGGAATTGCTGGGTCAAATGGTATCTCTATTTGCAACTTTTTGAGAAAGCACCATACCACCTTCCATAGTGGTTGAACCATCTTACACTCGCACCAACAGTGAATAAGGGTTCCAGTTTCTCCACAACCTCACCAGCTGTTCTGTTAAATTTTGCAATTCTGACTGGGATGAGATGGTATCTCATAGTTGTTTTGATCTGGATGATATTCCTGATATCCTCTGGCAACTCATCTGGTCTTCACTCATTACTGTTCAAGGCCTCAAACCTGATCCTGATATGGTTTTGAAATCCAGGCAGGATAGACTCAAAGTCAAATTTTGGTTCCTGTTAATTTGATTTAATTTTCCTCAGCTTCAGCTTGAACTTGCATATGAGTGGACTGTTCCACAATCAGCACCTGGCCTAGTTTTCACAGCTGATACTGAGCTCCAGTGATTTTCCCCAAAGAGGTAATCGATCTGATTCCTATGCATACCATCAGGCAAAATCCATGTATATAGCCTGTGTTTATGTTTCTTATAAAATGTATTTGCAATAAGTCATTGATTGTGCAAAATTTCATCATTCTCACTCCAGCTTCTTATCTGTCACCAAGTCCATGTTTTCCAACTACTGATCCTTCTCTGTTCCCAACGTTTGTATTCTAGTCACCCATTATTATTAATGCATCTTGACTGCATGTTCAATCAATCTCTGACTGTAAAAGTTGGTAGAAATCTTCTGTTTCCTCCTCTTTGGCTCTGGTTGTTGGTGCATATATTTGAATGATGGTGGTATTCCCTGGACTTCCTTGTATGTGTATGGATATTATCCTGTCAGTCACAACACTGTATTTCAAGACGGATCTAGAAATGACTTTTTTATCTATGAAAGCACTTTTTGTCTACAACATAGTAGACCATCTGACTCAAAATGCCCCATGCCAGACCATCTCATTTCACCAATACCTCGTATGTCAATATTTATGCGTTCCATTTGTTTCTTAACAATATCCAATTTTCCTACATTCATGGTTCTCACATTCCATGTTCCAGTCATTAGTATCTGCTAATAGATGTTCCTCCTTCTATATGTTAACTTCTAGCCCTATTGTACACAGGGTTTTCAAAGGCCTGCTATTTCAGAAGTGGAAGGCAAATCCTTCTTCCTGTTCTGTCTTAATTCGAATGGTCAGATTCAGAATATTATCTGACAGACAAGCATTTTATGGAAAAGAGCAGATTAAAGATATTTCCCATGATGCCACTGTTGTAGAATGGGACTGTCCTTGGGGTTGGGGAGAGACTGAGTAAGATGGGTTCAATAATGTATACTACACTGAAACAGAGGAGGGAGAAAATGTTTAAAAGAGATATATAACTAGGTATTTCTGTCATCCCAGGAGACTAGAGCAAGGGCTACATGGTGGAGGGGACCTGGGGGAGGGTTTGTAAAACAATGAAAGAATCTTTTCTTTTACTATTCCATAATTTTTGACTCATGTACTTATAACTTGTTAGTCAAATTTGTGTCTTCTAGGTTGCAACACCCCCATGATACATCTTCAATGATATGAACATGTACGGCCAAGCACAATCAATAAGAGTGCATCTAAATTCCAAAATCAATCTCCATAGTAGTCTATGTGTTTCCTACTGCCAAAGGGGCCCTTTAGAGTAGTGAGAGAAGATCTTCACCCTGAAACCCACAGCGTCCCTTTTCAGCAGGAAGTAGCTAAGAGAATACACCATCCCCTTTTCCTTATGACTCAGGGTGAAGTCTCTCTCAGGGAGGAGTGATAGGGAATGGCAAAGGACACACAAACAAAGAAGATTAATCAGAACTGGCTTTGACAAGCACTGTGGCATTTGGACAAGAACAAACTGGGAGGAGGGTAGAGAGAATAGTGCAACAATGAATGAATGGAAACCCAAAATCTCTGTAAATGTTTATGAAAATTAATAAAATATAATTATAGAAAAAAAAAGTATTTCCCAAGTGTAAAAATAACCAATAGATTCAATGTTGTCCCTGCTCTTGACACATGTGTCTTGACCCACCCCTTTTAGTTTTGAACAGCTTTTAATTTTCCATTTATTTTATCTTTTCGGCCTTGTATTGCTTAGATGAAATCTTCTACAGTTTATGTTTTTCTTGATTTTGTTAATGGTTTCCTTGAACTCAACTTAATGAAAGTACTTTAATTTATTCTTTTTACGTATTCAGAAGTTTTAGTAATATCTCCCCCTGTGAGTAACTTTCTGGTTCTCTATTTGGTCACCTGTCTGTGTCATCTTGTTATTTTTTTGAGAGGTCTGAAGCTATCTATTGTCTCTGAATTGTGGTGGTGGTGTCCTTGTATTCTTTTCTTTTGATTTATGTGAATGTGCTACATAATTTGCCAATTTATCAATTCTTAATCTGTCACTTCCTGTCTCTCGTGGGTGTGATACAGAAAAGAAGTGTGTGTGAGCAAGTCTATATTAGCTGTTCATGTAGAGCTGTTGAGGACTACCTACTGGTTGCAGTATGTTGAGGATCAGGTAGAGCATGAGACAGTCTTTATTTTACCCAATGGGTAAAGTTTCAGGAGGAGTATGTTTGTTGGATGAAGCAGATACTGTTGTTAGGTGGAACAAAGGAAAAGAGAAATATAGCAAGGAGAAAGGAAGAGAGAATGACTCAAGAATGGACAGTGAAATAAGAAACAAACAAAACACATAAGAGGGGTAAAAAAGGAAGGAGAATTAAGGGGAAGGGGTAAAGTCAAAGAGAAGAAGAAAAGGGGGAAGAAAAATATAAAAATAAAAAGCTCCAAATAGGGGACGGAAATGAGAAAAAGAGAAAAGATAAGAGGAAAATGGGAATGACCTTGTGGGTATAATGAGGTGAGCTTGCACTAGAATGGTGTTCTTGTCATTATTGTGACAGGTGGAGGCAAGATGTCCGATGTGGACAGTTATTCTGCCAGAGATGATCACTGCCAAAACCAAGATGCCCAACAACTGCACAACAGAGTATAGGGGAAGTGTGCTGTTCTAAATGTGGCTGTGGTTTATGCCAGCATGGCTTCTATCAATCAATGCAGGCTGTGCACTGTCCTTCTCCTTCCATTCCCAGCATAGCACACTTGGGGAGCTCTGCCAGCCTAGTGGTTAAGAAGTAGAGCTGGCAACCCAAAGATATTCAGTTCAAATCCATCAGCAGCTCCATGGGCAACCTTCTCCAGTGTGGTTAACTGCCTCTGAAAACCCACCAGAAAGTCGGCTATGGGTCAATTCTGACTAAAAGATACAACATATTTAAGATATATAACATATAAATAATAAATGTTTTTTCACAGTAAAAATAAACCAGAACAAATAATCTATGCCAACTCAGCATTTCTACAGGTATAATTCATTGATAGTGTTTACTTTCCTCAAGTTGTGTAATATCTTAAAAAAAGTCTTCCACAATCATTAATATAAACTCAGTGGTTCACTATGTATTCGCTTATTTCCTATCAGTGAGATGACATCATATTTGTCCTTTGTGAAACTGAGTTACATTTGCTCAGCATAATAATTTCAAAGTTCATTCATATGGTATACACCAGGATTTCAAATCTTTTTTGGCTGTATATTTTTAATTGATTATTTCTTACTAGTTTCTAAGAATACACAAGCAGTAACCATGCAAGTCGGGTATAATGTTATTTACCCTGGGACCAGCAAGGTGCTTGCCACATAATCCAAAAATCAAAAGAACCACCTCATCATTATTGGGCTGCTCTGTCTCACAGCTATCTTACAGGAGAGAGCAAAACTTCCTCACAGGTCATCTGAGGTTATAAACATTCACAGGCACCGACTGATTCATCTGTTTCCTACAGAGACACTGGTTGATTCAAATCTCCAACCATTTCTTGCAGTGAAACACTTAGACCATTATGCTACCAAGCCTCATCCTCCACATAACAGGTAATCAATAAGCCCTGTTGAATAAACAACTTTTCTTTTCAAATCTGAGTAAATGCTTTAGATCCCTAATCATTCTGTTAATGCTCAAGAGTAGGGAAAGCATCTTAACTCCATATTCTGCATAAAAACAAGCTCTGTGGATACAAATACATAAAGCATGCATTCCATAAGAACTCAGTTCTTTAGCAGAGAATAAAAACACTCTTACCTTGCCAAAGCTGCCTTTTCCAATAACTTTTAAGAAATCAAAGTCTGTTGGTTTGGCACTGAAATAAATGAACAAAAACAATAATTAGCTTCATAGGCATCAGAAGGATGCCAACTTTTAAATATTTCTTAATACTTGTATTTTAATGTTTTTAAAAAATTGGTGGAAGTTTACAAAGGAAATTAGGCTTCCATTTGACAATTTCTACACATACTGTACAGTAGTATTGACAACCCTTTCCACATTAGATCGACATTCTTATTATTTCCGTCCAGTTTCTGTTCTTGCTTACCAGTCCCATTCTTTTGTTGATCATATGATCTCAGATCAATGATTATTGCTGGTTTATTTTTATCATTTCAAATATACAAAAGGAGCACAGAACTCAGGGATTATAGTTAAGATTTTGAGCCAATCTGTTATTTAGCTAAAAAACAAGACCACTGAGAAGTGCTTAAATTCCAAGTTTAAAAGGTATCTCAGTGCAATAGCCTATATTATTGTTATCACTGTTGTATGCCATTGAGTCAGAATCAAATCATAGCTGACTCTTCGAAGGGTTTTCAGAGGCACTGCCATCTTTCTTTCATCGAGCAGCTGGTGGATTTGAACCACTTGCCTTTGGAATTGCAGTGCAGCTTCTTACCACTAAAATCTCTGCCACCAAATCTCTGCCAGGCCAGAAAGTTGAGTTTTACTTCTCGAAGATATTGAGTTTTGTCCTGCAATTTCCCCCCATTTTATCTAAAACCATCTATTGTGGTCCCAGTCAAACCCTCCGGCAAGTTTTCAGAGGCAGTCACCACATTGGTGGAACCTTGCTCAACCTTCTCCTTTGGAGCAGTTGGTGGATTCAAACTGTGTGCCATCAGAAGTGCAGCACAGCTTCTTGCCACCAGGACTCCCTAAAACTAGGCTGCAGTACATAAATTTTATCTTGCTCACTCATTACCATTGAGTTGGCTCTATACTGGGCTTTTAGAGATTGTAAATCAAACGGGAGGAAACTGTTCACATTTCTCTTGCAAAGCAACAGGTCAATTCAAATTGCCAGGGAGGCATGGCCTTTGAGTTTGCAGTGCAATTCCCAATGGACTACACCACCAGAGCTCCTGATAAACTTCAGACTATGGTAATAAGAAAACATTGAATTCAGAACGCTTGAGTGTAAATACTTTAGTTCTCCAACTGGCTCATCATTAATATAAAATAGTAATATGTAGTAATTTTACCTTGATTCTGATTAGATAAAACATTATATAACTTCATTTAAAATTCTTACGAATCCTGCTAATGAGTGACTGAAAAATACACATAAGCTTGCTGTGCTGTGCAACAGCACAAAGCCCTGCTGAGTCCCGTGGCAATCATGTCCATTGTAGGGACACTCTGTCACTCCATCTTGTAGATGTTTTTCTCCAGGGATTGATCCTTCTTGATAATAATACTCTGGCTTTCTCAGTTCTAAAGAGCATTCTACTATACTGGCTTTATTTTAAAATTCTATATACTTATTTCATTAGATCATTGGAGTCATGGTTGTGCGACATGTTAACATTACTGACTACTAAGTGACAGGTCAGCTATTTAAATTCAAAATCTATCCACAGGGTGCCTCTTCCTGAAAAGATTTACAGCCTCAGAAACCTAATGGAGGGCCCCTGTGAGTTGGAACTGACTCCATGACAGTGGAGTAGCATTATCAAAAAGTCTGCAAAACTGTATGAATTATCAAAAGAGACATGAAGTGAGCTGTCAGGAAATGATGCCAAGACATGACGACTGACCAAAAACCTTTTAAAAAAGCATCTTTGCAAAGTACTTATAAAATGAGGTATCCCTATAATACCTGGGCTAGGTAAACACTAATGAGCTAACCACTTCAAGAGATTTTTATGCCTTTTATCTCCATAAACCTGATCTTTTGATTATATAGTTCTTTAATGACATGCTAAGATACTAAAATAGTTAAATAAAAAATTCCACACGTAAGAGTGAAAAAAACATAACAAATATCTCAAATACAGGAAATAGACTACCAACCTAAGGTCTCATTACTATCGTTCATGATAACTCTATTTAAAGGCAAATTTCCATCCTACACTGCCTGCCAAACTATGCTGCCTGGCCAATATTATAAATGAAGAAAAGGGACTTCATAAGGAAGCTTCTCTGCCAGTTAACACTAATTTTTTTTTTTTTTTTTTGCAGCAAAGCTTCTCAATTAAGTTGTCGATACTCTCCTCTCCTCGATTTCTTCATTTGACCTTTGTCTAGTCAGGCTGTTACACCAAAGGAACTGCTCAGAGAGGTCAAAGATGACTACTACATCATTAAATACTATGCTCAAGTCTCAGCCCTGATCCTCCCTGACCTGCAGGTCCTTCCTGATCGACTACAGCATCTGAGTTAATTCTATTCGTTCTTTTGAAACACTTTCTTCCTCTAAGTGTGGGACAAGCATCTAGTTCTTAGCTTTCCTCTTAACTTAAGGACTACTCTTGCTCAGTTTGTGTTACTGGTTCCTCTCTGACCTCATGTCAAAATGTACCTGAAGAGCTAGACCTTGGTCCAATTCTACTGTCTCTTATACTTACTCCTAAAGCAGACTCAATAAAAAGGGAAAGGAAAGCACAGTGATAAAAAGACAGATTTTTTTGGGGAGGGGTGGGCAGGGAGAAAAGTGCAGCAATGAATGAATGGAAATCCAAAATCTCTGTAAATGTTTATTAAAATTAATTTTTAAAAAACTCAAAAAAGTATTTACTATGAATAAATCATTGAATGTACAAAATTAAAAAATAAAACAAAAAAGACAGATTTTTTTAGCATCAACCTAATATGCTTGTCAGGATCACTATACATGAGGAAGAGTAACACTATGTTCTTCCTCCAACCCGTGGTCATTATCACTACTAATAAGTCAAGACATTGCTTCACACTGAGCCAAGAGGCCAAGTAGGCTGGAGGTACTTTGTTGTATTCAGTGATTGGGGGTTTACTTTTAATTAATTCTAGCATTTGACACTCAAGATGGAGTGTTCATCTGCCTCTGGCAATCTTCAGCATTTTGAGGAGCTAGGTTCTTTAAATTGTTAAGAATAAAGAATATGGTCTGTGATCCAATTAATATGGAAGCGTAGATATGCAAATTTGTTTTTGTTTACCACAGAGTCAAAGAGACTCTTAGTTGACGCTCTGGCAGGTTTGCAGAGGCAGGGATTTACACTGGAGGAGACTGCCCACGCTTCTGCAGAGCAGCAGGTAGATCTGAACTGTGTGCCTTTGAGACAGCACCTGATTCTTACCACTATAGTCTAGTGTCCATCATCATGAGTCCTCTACAACAAACAGAAATCAAATGGGCTTCACTAGCAACATTGAGCACCAAGAAAATTATACATACATAAGTACTTTTTTTCACAGAGCATCTCACAGGGCTAATGGTCTTTTGGGAAATATGATCTACTGATTTTCTATATACAGAAGCCTCAAGACAGTGGTAAAATCAGAAGAACCCAATTAACTCATAGATTCAAAATTCCCACTTCAACTAATTGCTGTCAAGTTGACTGTGAACTTAAAGTAACCCTCCATCGGGTTTCTGTGGATATAAATCTGAATGGGAAGAAACTGCCCATCTTACTCCCACTGAAGTGACTGCCATATTTCTTCCAAAGGATCTGAGCTGCCAGAGATGCTCTCTCTACCTTTCGGTTAACAGTGCTACATGGTATAAACCACACCAACTGAAGCTCCTGATTAGAAATATAAAATCAAAACAAATGACAGCCAGCTTCTCACAGCAATGAAAAGATAGAATAAAAAACTAAGCAAGCATATGAGAATACCATGCTCACTCTAACTAATTAGCAGTATTTCTTAGGCTTCTAGTTAAATATGCATAATTAGGACCACAGCCCCAGCTCCATCCAACTTCTGCCAAAATAGCTTAACATTAGTTAAAGAACTTTAAAAAAAAATTTATTATTTTTTGTGTACCATCAAATCGGATCTAACTCGTACAAGAGGAGATTGCCCCTCCTCCAGCAGAGCATCTGGTGGATTCAAACCACATACCTCTGGGATTGCAGTGCAGATTCTTGCCACTAGGCCACCAGAGGTCTCAGTTAAAGAGCATTTTAAAACAACTTAAACTTACTGAGGATTTCCAGATGGTCCCAGGTTGATGTTCTGTGAGGTAGAGTGTAGCTGTTTGGATAGGAAATTAAAACAAAATAATACCATTCCTATAGAGATTTAAAAATTATCAGTGAATAAATGCTTTCAAGATAATAAAGTACATAATGTATAACTATGTAATGATATTTAGTTCATTACTGTTAAAAAAACTAAGATCCTATTCTTTAATAAGCCTACTGCCTTGTTTGAAAATATATAATATATAGTCATTTAAAAATTATAAATTTCAAAATCATTATTACAAAACAATGTAAGACATGAACCCCAAAGTTGGCAAATAAATAAATTTGGACAGTTCCTTGAAATAGTTTTTTGATGTTAGGTGCTATTGAGTCACCTGTGACTCATAGCGACTCTAAGTACAACAGCTCTCAACCTTGCCTTATTCTGAGCTAGCCTCACTGTTTCTGATAACCCTACCCTCCTTACTCTAGTGACTGTGTTAATCCATCTCACCCAAGATCTTCCTCTCCTGCACTATCTCTCTACTTCTCCAAACATGATGTCCTCCACACACTGGTCCCTGCTGGCCACAAACTGCAAAATATTTGAGTCAAAGCTTCAAAATCCTTGCTTCCAAGGAGCAGCATGGTTTCACTCTCTCCAGGATAAACTTGTTTTTTAATTTAGCATTCCATAGTGTGTTTAATACTCCTCTTCAGCACCACAACTTAAAGACATCAATTCTTCTGTCAACTCTAGCCACTGTCCAGCTCTCTGATGCAGAACAACTAATTGCGAACACCATGACCTAAATCAGGCAAATCTTAGTCTCCTGACTAACATTGTTTAAGGTGTTGAAACAATTTAAGAGCAATCACTTTCACATTTTTAATACTGGTTCAAAACGGTTTTTCAAATTGTCAAGTAACAAAAGCTTATTAAAGCAGGATATAATAAAAGCGATCAGTAGGTCTTCACTTTATTTTTATACTCGCTGTCACTGTTGCTACTGGTTGTCATCAAGTCATTTTTGATTGGTTGCGACCCCAATGAGGAAGCAGATCTATAGATACCGGTGGGTAGTTTCAAACTGTCAACCTTTCAGCTGGTTGTCAAGTGTGTAACTGTTTGTACCACCTCAAAAACTCTAATTAGAAGGAATACAAAAGTATTTCTAAAGCAAGAAAAAAATAAGAGGAATGGGGTTTATTCCAATTGCGCTTCCTAAGCTGGTTGGTAGACTTTTAGATAAGTGTTTTCTCTTCCAACACTCAAAAAAGTAAATTGTTGTTTGTTGTGTTGTTATGTGACATTGAGTCGTTTGCTACGCATCACGACCCTATGTATAAGAGCCCTAAACGCCGCTCTATCCTGTGCCAACCTCGCTGTCTCAAACACCACTCCAGTCACAGATTCGATCCATCTCATCAAAGGTCTTCCTCTCCTGTGCCATCCCTCCACTCTCCCAAACATGATGTCCCTCTTTAAGGACCAGTCCGTCCTTGCAACATGCCCAAAGTATGTCAGACGAAGCTTCAGAATCCTTGACTCCAGGGAACATTCTGGCTTCACCCTCTCCAGGACAAACCTGTTTGTTCTCCTAGCAGACCATGGTATATTCAACACATTTCTCCAGCACCACAACTCAAAGGCATCAATTCTCTTTCTATCATCCCTATTCACTGTCCAACTCTCCAATGCATAGCACGTAACTGCAAAGACGATAGCCTGGATCAGGCGCACCTTAGCCTCTAGCCTGACGTTGTTGCACTTCAGTACTCTAAAGAGGTCCTCACAGCTGACTTTCCCAGTGCAATTCGTCTCCTGATTTCCTGGCTGCTGTTACCAAGAGTGCTGACTGTAGAACCAAGTAAATGAAAACTGTTAACTATCTCAGTTTCTTCACCATCCATACTGATGCTGCCAGTTGGCCCGGTGGTGAGAATCTTTGTTTTCTTGATAGTGAGCTTCAATCCATATTGAAGACTGCAGTCCTTGACCTTCTGCAGCAAGCGCTTATTCCCTGATAATAGATTAGAAGCAGCCCTGTGACACAGGTTAATTCACTTGACTACATGCAACAAAAAGTCAACTGTTTGACTAATCAGCCCTTCACAGGGAGATAATGTAGCAGTCTGACTCTGCAAAATGTTATAGCCTTGGAAACCCTGTCAGGCACATCTCTTTGGTCCTATCAGTTCACTGTGAGTGAGAATTGACTTGAGGGCAGTGAGTTTCATTTGGATTCTTAATTTAGAAGAAAATATTTTTTTAATTAAAAATATATATGTGGAAAATCAATCAGAAAAATGCAAATTGTATACATGATTTATCACTTCCTAGGAAAAAGGTAACCATATTCATAACTCATGCTTCTAAATTAGTAGCAGACCAGTTACAAGAAGAACAGAGTCAACAGTGCACCAAATGTTTTATTTACTGTATAAATCCATTACTTCTGACATCAACAGGCCCTCCTTCATTCAGTTCTCTCACTTTATGTCCTTTGCGTTTGGTTATTGCTGGAAGGTCTCCCAGAGACTCAGGCTCATCAAGAGAACAACTCCTGTGTCTGTAAGTATGCAAGCTGGTTTTGCAGAGACTGGTGAGAGTTGTAGACTATCAGTCACAGTGCAGCTGGAAAGCAGGCTTCCCAAAAAAGAGAGTCCCATTCAGGTCCCAGGAGCCTTTATCCTACCCTACTCCTCTCTCTTTCATACCATAAATTCTTCAGTACAAAATAAACAGTTAATCATTAGCTAAGGAAAGGAATTTTGAATGATAAGCCTTTGACAGGATAAGATTTCTTATCCTATAAAAAGGTGCTAATTCCTAGTATCTTTTCCCAGAAGGTATTATTCATCTCATTCATCTCTATATTCCCTACAAAGTCAACAGTTTACATATATCTGTATTGTTGTTGTCGTTAGGTGCCATCGAGTCGCTTGCAACTCATAGTGACCCTATGTACAACATGCCTAAACTCTGCTCTGTCCCATGCCAATCGCACCGTCTCCGACACACCCATCCCAATTACCCCAGTCACTGAATCAATCCACCTCATAGCGGGCCTTCCCCTTCTGCGCTGTCCCTCCACCCTACCAAACATGATGTCCCTCTCCAAGGACCTGTCCCTCCTTGCAACATGTCCAAAGTATGTTAGACAGAGCCTTAGTATCCTTGCCTCCAAGGAGCAGCCCAGTTTGACCCTTTCCAGGTATTAAAACATCAAATTGTATAATGTACTTGAAGCTAACAAATTGATCTTAAATTAACTTGGTTTTTACTAATGTATTCTGTTCTTCCTCAAAATTAGTCCAACTTTACATTTTACTATACTTACAGAGAGCATACTGTGCACAACTGACCTGATCTTTAGGAATTCATTATAATATATATGAAAATATAAATGTTTTCTATAAAGTAGTAACTTAGGGCACTCAAAACTATTCTCAGATTGCTGAGACGAAGCAAACTGCTGCTGCCACATAGAAGGGCAGATCTGACCAGTCCTCTCAGTAGAGCTCTTAATAGAGTAGAATTTCCGTTCTTTGCATACTTCCATCCCACAAAGACTCCATTAACTTTATCTCTGTTATTAACAAGTCGTCAAATCATCTTGGTGATCTACAAGGACCTAATTTCTTCCACTTTAAAAACCATGATTAAAATCCAAAGCAATACTTTCAAGGACTGAATTGATAACAAAGACTATAGCATAAAAAAAAAAAAAAAAGACTATAGCATAGCTAAAAATTAAGAAAGATGGAAATATAAGAAAGGATCTAAATTGTATATGCTAGATAATAAAGATCTGGATAGTTTTCAAAACACATTTAATTAAAGAAGAATAGAAAAAAATGACTAAGGTAGCAACAATTACTAGCTTGAGTGGTAGCAATATAGATAATCTCTTTACTACTATTTCCTTTTATCACGTTATTTTTTTATTGTTGTTGTTGTTGTTGTTATGTGCCATCGAGTCATTTGCGACTCATAGCGACCCTATGTACAACAGCCCTAAACCCTGCTCTATCCTGTGCCAATCTCATTGCCTCTGACACACCCATCCCGATTACCCCAGTCACTGAATCAATCCACCTCATAGAGGGTCTTCCCCTCCTGCGCTGTCCCTCCACTCTGCCCAGCATTTTTTATTACAAAAATAAATATTTAAAAAATTTCATATGAAACAGAAATTAGTAAGAAGTGTTCACATTTATTCTGTTTTTTGCAGAGTATAAAATTTACTATGGAATACAATCTCATTTGGTGTGAATTACATCCTAAAGTTTCTATTGATTTCATTTTTGGAGAATGGTATTTTTTTCTGTTCTGTTTTGTTTTTTAAAAACACACTTTGTTTTCACTACCTTGTGAGTACTTCTTTCATCCTCATCTTCAGATGGATCTGACTGATGTTTTGGACTATCCATTTGAAGGAATGCTCTCACATCTGGACTAAAGACAAAAAGGAACTTTGTTAGAACTTTGAAAGCATTTTTGCAGCTCTTATACCTTTTAAATCTGAAAGCATTTTTGCAGCTCTTATACATTTTCAATCTGTATGCAGAACAGAGCATTCAGGAGGCTGGGCTTTATGAGGAGGAATGTGGCATTAGGATTGGAAAAGGACTCATCAATAACCTACGTTATCTAGGTGACACAACTTTGCTTGCTGAATCTGTTGTTGTTGTTGTTATGTGCCATTGAGTCGTTTCCAACTCATAGCGACCCTATGCACAACAGCTCTAAACCCTGCTCTATCCTGCACCAACCGCACCGC